TTGGTAGCCCAGGCTGGCCTCGAATTCACAGAGATCCGCCTGGCTCTGCCTCCTGAGTGCTGGGATTAAAGGCGTGCGCCACCACCGCCCGGCAAAATTTTTTTTAAGTGAACCAAATATTTCAGTGGTTTCAGGCATAGTGGCACACACCTGTAATCCCAGCACTCAGGAGGCTAAAGCAGGGGGATCTTTGAGTTTGAGGCCAGCCTAGACTACATATCTAGTTCCAGGCCAGCCAGGGTTACATACTGAACCCCTGTCTTGGAAGGGCGGGGTTAGGGTTGAGGGGGAGAAGCAGTGGTTTCTTTAACTACCAACAATGTACTGTTAACGTTACAATTAAAAAAAAAATACTTGTCACAACCCACTCCATAGATTTGACTTCATGGCCTGCTCTTCCTGAAAATCAGCACAGCAACGTGCAGCATTGGCTTGGATTATGGTTGTGCTTCTGACACATCTTATTAGCACACTAGTAAGGCTGTGCATGTGTTTGTGTACTGAGCCACAGGTAAGGTGTCCATCCGGGCTCAGGCTAAAGAGTGGAAGAACACATTGCATTGGTGTACCCTAGACTTGGCTTGGATATAAAAATCATCTTGGGGAGTGGAAAACTTAGGCAGATACATTATTATTCTCTCTAGGCCTTCACTAGCCCTCTAAACTGAATCTGGTGATCTTCTTACCTCTGACTTACTTCCATGCCCTTAGGTATTTGAAGCAGAGTTGAGTGAGGGCTAGTTGTGACGCATGACTCTAGCCTTTAGGACTCTGCACGAGGTTACTACTTCCACTCCCTAGGGTATTTTCTGAGTCCCCTTGTTCAAGAAATCCCTACTTCCTTGTTTCTGTCCTTGTTTCTGTTAAGGTAGTCTTTGTCCTTACCTTAACATCGACTCTTGCTCACATACTCCCCAAGCCAGTGGTCCTCAAACTTCCTAATGCTGGGGCCCTCATGTTGCGGTGACCCCCAACCATAAAATTATTTTTGTTGCTACTTCATAACTGTAATTTTGCCACTGTCATGAATCATGATGTAAATATCTGTGTTTTCTGTTGGTCTTACATGACCCTTGTGAAAGGGTCATGGAACTCGCTCTGTAGACCAGGCTGGCCTTGAACTCACAGAGCTCCACCTGCCTCTGCCTCCTGAGTGCTGCCCGTGATCAGACTCCGTACACAACACTACTGTGCTGTGTTTTGTTGGTTCTCTGGTCCCCTTACTTGTATTACAGTGATGCCCTGGCGAGAAGACAGCTCACTTACAGAACTTCCACTTCAGACAGTGAAATAAGTGTCTGACTTGTGCCATGGCGCAGTTTCCTGACTCAGGTCCCCTTTCCCTTTCCTGTCTAGCCGTCTTTCTGGGGGGCTTCGGCCTAGGTCTAGTGAAAACATCTGTGTGTCACTAGGTACAGCATTGTCTGGATCTGTTCCCTACTACGCAGTGGGAAACCTCCTTTACAGGCTCCTGGGCAGCTTCACTGACCTTTCTTCTAGCCCCTCTTTCCATCCTTGCTCCTTCATAGCAGGAGAAAACGGTACAGCACCCCTTGTTACAGTTTACCTATTCCCGCTTTTAAATTGATCGCGTTTCCAGAACGCCTCCGCCACTCTGAGTTAGTCTAAATCCTCCTGCCGTTTTGTGAGGCTCTCCACCCCACCCTGGAACACTGCCTGTGTGGAAGTGTTTGGGACAAATCCCGATTGAGTGAGAGGTTTCTCGGTGGCCTTTATGATCTCGCCAGGCCTTCGCGGTGTCTCTGTGCTCTCGGCTGTGAGTGTGCACTGTAAGAATAAGCACGAAGTCATGAGTGCTACGTGTCCCAAGTCAGAATTCTGAACCTGCCTCGGAGTGCCCGTGGCCTTGGGCAGGTCACTGCGCTGTAGTTTTCTCAACAGGAACGTGAAGAGTACGTGAGTTAATGGGGCTGGAGAGATGGCTCTGCTGTTAAGAGCACTCACTGCTCCTCCAGAAGACCAAGTTTGGTTCTTAGCCCTACGCACCAGGTGACTCAGAACGGCCGTAACTCCAGCTCCAGGGGATCTGATAGCTTCTCTTGCCTCAAGACACCCCCACACTCATGGTGTACACACAGATACCTACACGTACACATTTAAAACCGAATAAGGAAGTTAACACATGAAAAGTGCCTAGAAGAGTGTGTGGCACATACTAAGTACCTAAAAAGTGCCAAGCCTTGGAAATCCCCAAGTTTTTCAGCATACCCATTGGAGTCTGTGTTCAGATAATTGTAGCTCTGAAAGCAACAATAAGGTATCACTTTAACCACTGTGGGCATGGTATTGCTTTACTTTACTAACTTAGGATCCCTAATAACTCCGATGTAGGGATTATATTCTCTATTACATACCCGAAAACTGGGACTGAGTAACACATTAAAGCATAATAAAGCAAGACATGATAGTACATGCCTGTAATTACATTACTTAGAAGGTTGAGGCAAAAGGATTTTAAATTTGAAGCCAGCCTGAGCTATATAGTGAATTTGAAGGCAGCTGAGCTACATAGTGAGGCCTTTTCTCAAATGACGGAAAATGGATGATTTAGAACAAACTAACTGGTAGGCAGGGACTTAAATTCATGCCTTACAGACTGTTGATTGCTACCGTAACTGACTTTCTTACTGACTGGTTTGTGTTATTAGGCAGATAGTTTGTCTTCTATCTCTCTGTCTCTCTCTCTCTGAGACAGGGTCTTACTATGTAGCCCTGACTGACCTGAAACTCATTGTGTAGACTAGGCTGCCCTCAAGCTAACAGACATCTATCTGCCTGCCTTCGCTTCCTGAGTGCTGGGATTAAAAGTGCTCTGGTAGATGATTTCTTTAGGCTTCAGGAACTGAGCTGGTTGTACTCAGAATCACCTGGTGGGGGGATGAGTAGGCTGGAGTTAAAGTAAGGTTACATTTTAACACTTGGAAATTTTAGAACATGTTGTAGGAGTTACATTTAAAAAGCCCAAACTGTATTCCTTGGGGGAAGAGATGGAGACTAGCCAACTCACTGTGCTAATATTGTCTGTATGGACTCTTTTGGGGCCATAATAACTCTGAAATAAACGTCGTTATCCTTCATTATAGATGTAGAAACTAAGCCCTAAGCTCATTCAGACTTTAAACCCATTCTAGCTGATTTCAAAGCCTGTTTTTTTTTTTTTTTTTTTTTTTTTTTTTTGCTATTATGCAATGCTGCTTTAGTGTTTCGAAAGACCACATGGAACTCCTGACCAACACCGCATCCCTAAACCTGATCTTTAGTTTTTATTGAGACAAAGTCTCACTCTAGAACCTGGGCTAGTCTCAAATTTTTGATTCTCCTGCATAGGCCTCTCTAGTGCTCTGATTAGAGGTATGTACCAACATGCTCTGTCCTCTTCCAAGGTTTTGGTTTTGGCTATAGGTTCTCATGTAGCTCAGGCTCTTCTTGAGTTTGACTCCCAAGTGAGGGGATTACCAGTGCATACTATCATGCCTGGCTTTGGCTCTCCTAAGATAAATTTTAGGATAAATGCATGTTCATAGTGCTAGATGGCCTAGGCCATCAATGGATATCAGTGTGGCCACTAGACATGGGATACTAATTGTCCTCCGCAAGGACTGAGAGCCCAACACTTTCACAAGAGACTGATCTCATTAAGCCTATTTTATACACTGTCCTTAAGAAAATAGTTTTACATGTGCCTTTTAGAGTCGTGGGCTTCATAAGTGACACTAATTTCTTACTGGATATCTATTTCTTGTTTCCTAGGCACTTTTAAATTCAATACAGATGCTGCTGAGTTCATTCCTCAGGAGAGAAAAAATTCTGGTCTAAATTGTGGGCCCCAAAGAAGATTGGACTCTAACAGGATCGGCAGAAGAAATTATAGTTCCTCACCTCCCTGTCACCTTCCTAGGCAGGTCCCTTATGATGACATCTCTGCTGTTCATCAGCACAGCTACGCCTCTGGAAGCAAACCGAAGAGTCACCAGGCTTTTT